GGGCCGCGCCGCCGCCAGTCCTCCGACGGAAAGGGGCGCGGTTGGCCACGTGCAGGGCGAGTGGCGAATGCGTTGCAGCTGCGGAGGGGCAGGAGAGGTCGCTGCCCAGGGACTGTGGACCGCGTCCCTGAACCTCGGCCTTGGACCTGCCCGTTTCCCATGGCCCTTGGCCTTGCACCTGTCAGTGACCCTGACGCTTGGCCTTGCCCCTGCCTCTGACCCTGACCCTGACCCTCAGCCTTGCCCCTGCCTCTGACCCTGGCCCTTGGCCTTGTCCCTGCCCATGCCTCATGACCCTGAATCTTGCACCTGCCAGTGACCTATGACCCTGACCCTCAGCCTTACACCTGCACATGACACAAGACCCTCGGAGCCCCTGTCCCATGCATCTCTGGCTCTAGATTCCTGCTAGGAGGCTTTCTCCTTTCCATCAAGTGCAGAATGCCTCAGGGGATCCATCTAGACCCTGGAACTGTTTCCACTGCTGGGCAAGCACAGTTTTATAGTGCCAAGCAGAGTCCCTGCTCGCTTGTTAAACTGATTTACGAAATCTGCTGCCGCAAAGCAGGGCAAGACTGAATGTCTTCTCCCACAGCACAGTCCTCCTCACGGGCCCCTCAGAGGCCAACTTTCCACTGTTCCTTCTAGGTGTTCCCACTGGTGTGAACCACATCCGTGGTTCCCAGCTGCTGTCAGCACTTCTCCTGACGGGGTCATGTAATGCTGTGCACTGCCATGTCACCTTCCCCATTGCTAGCCATCCGGAGCTGCGTTGAAGCAGGCCAGTGTTGGAATGCGGCCAAATAGAATCTTGCTTTGAACTGCAGGGAAGTGCTTTGTGCTAGTAAAGCAGGTTTGGGGAGGTTTTTGCAAATGAAATTGGTATGTGTATGGAATTATCTGAGCTTGACTTGACCACTGGTGATGTGGGCTTTGGGGCAACTGATTAGGGCAGCTGAAGCAGGTGGAGGCTGCTGGGCAGAGCCTTTGAAGAAAGGAGCTAGCTATGCAGGGTACTGGGCTGAAGTCCTTGGGTGCTCTGGGGGTTTAGCCTGGGCTCAACTAAGCATTTGTGATATAAGACTATGGTACTTGTCAGGAGTAACTGACACTCCAACAGTGTTCCAGGAAGACCTTCCCAGACACAGACAGCCACCCTCCACGAGGACATGGGAGGAGGAACCTGTCCCCAGGCCTCAGCTTTTACATGCCACTGCTGTTTTGGCTGATACTTTACTTTTTTTTTTTTTTTTTTAGCAGCGCTTTAACATCTTAAACGCAATTCTTTGCTCAAGGACTCTACATCATGGCCAGGGGGCTGGGAAGATGGCGCATCAGTTAAGAGTACCTGCTGCTCTTGCAGACAACACCGGTTCTATTCCCAGCACACACATGGTAGCTAACAGCAGTCCTCCAGTTCCAGGGAGTCAAATGCCCTTGTCTGATCTCTGCAGGCACTGCATGACACAGGTGCACTTACATACATGCAGGGGATACACTCATACACATAAAATAAAAATAAATAAAATTAAAGAAAAAAAAGAGATCATGGCCAGATATGATCTGTGAGTTGGGGGTTGTTCATCCCCTGCTCTGCAATACAGCCCAATTCCTACCTGCCTCAACAAAGCCTAAAACAAGCTGGGACATGATCTAATCAAGTCTTGATAATTAGAGGGACTTAGGGAGGCACCTTGGACACACCTCAATTCAATACAAACATAAAAGCAAATGTACAGAAGGTCACAGGGGAAAAGGCTAACTTAGCTGTGAGCCAGAAGGCAAGACAAAGGGGATGATAATCCAGGCCTCTGCAACGTGTTATTATCAGTGCCCATCGTGCACTGGGAAATTACTAGACACACAAAGAAAGTGTGAGCTAGAATCAGGACAAACCGCACCAACAGAAAGCGGCCACTGAGCCCAGAGCAGCTATAGAAAGAATGTTTGAGGGATTAAATGACCTTGAATGAGGAAAAAAGCTCACGGCAGAGTAGCTGAACATTTTTTAAATGAATCAAATTCTAGAACTGAAAAGTACCGTAACCAAAATGAAAATGTGAGTGGATCGGACAAGAGCCAACTAGAGACAGCAGGAGGGGGACCCAGTGGCTTGGACTGGAAGGACATCTGAAAAGAAAAGAAAAGCCCAAGAAAAGTAAGCACGGCCACAGAGACCAAGAGCCAGACTCACATGAGACACTTTGCAGAAGGAGAAGAAAGTGGGAATTGGGGCAGGGAAAAAAACAAAATGAAAACCATTTGCTGCAGATCAGAAAACGTAGCAGAATCCACGTGAAATGCATGCTAAGTATGTGAGACACTGAAAAGCAAGGCTGGAGAGAAGCGCTTAAGGCAGCCGGCAAGTCCAGATGTCACCTTCACAGGTACACTGGCAAGGGCGGGTGGTTTCTCATCAGACATTGGAAACACAGTGGAAATATTTATTTTTTAAATTACATCTATTATTTTTGTGGGAGGGAGCAAGCACATGTCACAGTGCACCTGTGGAGGTCAGAGAACAAATCGTGGAAATCTGTGCTCTCCTCAGGGATTGAACTAAGATTATCAGGTCTGGGAGCAGGTTCCTGTGTATGCTGTGCCCTCTTGTCAGCCTGCAGAAATATTTAAAAATATGTTAAATTTTAGGGCCAGAGAGATGGCTTGGTGGTTAAGAACACCGGTTGCTCTTGCAGAAGACCCAGGTTCGAATCCCAGCACCCACATGGCAGCTAACAACTGTCCGTAACTCCAGTCCCAGGGGATCCTACAGCCTCTTCTGACCTCTGCGGGCACTGCACGACACAGGTGCATTTACCTACATGCAGGCTATACACATAAAAATACGCATACACACAAAAATAATAAATAAATTTTAAAATGTATCTTAAATTTTAAAAAGTCAACCAGGCATGGAGGCACACCCCTTTAATCCTGGCACTGAGGAGGTAGAGAGAGGCAGAGCTCTTTGAGTTCAAGGTCAACCAGGGCTACATAGTGCAACTTTGTCTCAAAACAAGTGTCATACTGTATCCAACACAAGTGTTCTTCAAAAATAAGACCCAATAAAAATGTGTCAGGTAACGACTCAGTGTGCTCCTCAGACAGGGAAACAGGGCCAGACAAAGATACTGATGTCCAGGAAGAGGCCAGCCAGAAGTAACCAACAAACAGTAGATGTGGACTACTAGACCTCTGCCTTCTTCTTGTCACTTCTTTAAGGAAATAGTTGAACCAGTCATGACTGTGGTTTTGAAGTGAACATAGCATCACAATGAGAGCTTATATTTCACCCTTCACTGGCAGAGCACTGATGCCACCCCGTGTGTGAGCTCAGGAGGCTGTGAGGAGACATTCTGGGTGTCAAAAGGAAATGGAAAGGGAAAGGGTTCTGTATGAAGAAAGGAGGAGGATGTAAGACTGACTCTAAATAGAATCTGACATGGTTAAAACATGTTTTTACCATACAGCTAAACTGCCAGGAAAAAACTGTAAAAAAGATCTAAGAAACCGGTGAAGCAGATGCAAGTGGGTAGAGAGCTGGCTCAGTGGTTAAGCTCTTGTGTGGACCCAGGTTCAGTTTCTAGCACCCACATGGCAGCTTATACCCTTTCCTGGCCCCCGCAGGCACTAAGCACAGAAGTGGTGTACATACATACACACAGGAAAACACATGAATCATAAACAAATTTTTAAAAAGCTCCACACGCCTGCAGTCCCAGCACTTGGGAGGCAGAGGCAGGTGGATCTCTGTGAGTTCAAGGCCAGCCTGGTCTACATAGTGAGTTCCAGGACAGCTGGGGCTACAGGGAGACCCTGCTTCAAAAAGACCAAAAAAAAAAAATGCTCAGGAGCTGGAGAGATGGCTCAGCAGTTAAGAGCACTGGATGATCTTGCCAAGGACCCAAGTTTGGTTCCCAACACCTACATGTCGGCTAAGAACCATCCAGTTCTGTGGGATCCAGTGTCTTCTGGCCTCCAAGGGGAAAATATAAGTTTTGTCATAAAAATAAAATAAAAGAAATTTAAATGCAATGAGATAATAGAAAAAGGACTTGATTAATACAGAAGAGGTTGAGAAGGCATCAGAAAAATAAAATCAGGAAGGGAACTGGAGGGACCTGAGTGGTAGGGCACAAACTTAGTGAGGGCCAGGCCTTGGGTTAATCCCCAGCACTGCAAAAGAGAAATACCTAAACAGAAAAGGCAAATGAGACGGAGCTCAATGTGTGTTAGTATTGTCATCAGTCACTTTTCTTTTTTAAATTGAATTTTTGTGATTTTTTATACAAAATATAGTTTGATGATACTTAGATCCTCTCCCCTTTCCACACCTTCCCCACACCCCTGCCTAATTTAATATATACATATACATATGTTATATGTGTACATATATGTAATATATGTACATATAGATGTAACGTACATGTTATGTATGTAATATGTGTATGATATATATGTAATAGATGTATATATAGCCTACAAAGTCTGATTTGTGTCCCCAGATGCCCCTCAGTGTGGATCCATGCACTGGGCCCACCAAGAGCCCCATCCCTATAAGACAGTCTTTTCCTCTTGGCAACCATCAATTACCGAAGGTTCCTTAGGTTGGGTTGGGGTTTCTTACAAACTTCTCCATGTCTATACTGGGACTTTGTCCAGTTTGAGCTTGCATAGGACTTGTGCATGCTGTCACCATTGTTGTGAGTTCCCATGAGTGAATGTCCAGCTGTCAGGAAGACTGTTTGCTTGTGATCATCCCCCCCTCTAGCTCTTACAGTCTTTCCATCTCCTCTT